TCAAAGTGAAGTTCATGCTGTCGGCGGACATGCCCTTGGTCTAGATTTTCATCTCGTAAGGCGCCTCTGGACACTAATCTCTAACGAAGGACGTTTGGGTTGGTGATGGCCCGCCAAACGAAGCCAGGAGATTGTTGAATGTTCGCTTTATCCCTATCTGGCGATCATGTTTGAAACGTAGTTGTGAGTAGCTCCTGCAGTAGATTATTCGGCAAGCACTAACATCAAATGCGAGTGGAGCTCAGATAACCATATGCGATACATGCCACGTTGGGGAGAAGACAAGGTTTAGGATCAAAAACCATCACGATCTAAGTCTTGAACCAGAATGAACCATTCTGTGATGCAGGTACAACCGTCAAGCCCGAACGAAGTCCATAATAATAGAGAAGCAAGTGCGATCAGCGCGAGCAAGCTTGTACACGGCTCGGGAGAAGATGAGATCTGGTGACACGTCGTCAGAGTATGAAATGATTTTCGCAAATCGTGGGTAGCGCTTACCAAGGTCCTTTAGTAGCCGAATGTTCTGTTAAGAATCGCTGCTGCCCAAAAAACCACAGGTGGTAACAAGATGGTCGCACGGAAATAAGCAGTAAGGCACGTCGGATCAAAAATCCATCATGGACGGTCCATGTCTGGCCCTGGGCTTACATTGACAGTCCGGCTTGACACAACAATGTCAGATAGATGATATTGTGACAGACAATTGTAATGTGGGCAGTAGAAGTATATACAGTAGAATCGAGAGTATAGACACACAAAAGTGACAGAAGGGCATGGAAGATTGTACAGAGTGACGAGAGTGGCGGAAAGTATCGGCCTCATTGCGTTATATTATTTCGTGAGGGTTAAATCCATTGCGACTTGTCCCATGCCGGGTCCTGCAAGAACGCACATAGCACCTTACTTCCCGTCTATAGATAAGAAGAGTGGAGTCAATGAGTGGACGGCAAGACAGACGTTATGTACACACCTGCAGTAAAGGATGACCAGCAACAATACTCAAGAACCTCTCAAGCCCCTCCCTCCTGCTCTCGATGACCTCGTCCGAGAACCTGTTTGTAAACACTTTGCCCGGCAACGGAGGAATGTTCACCCTCGTCGACTCGCGCTCAAGAATGTCTCGGAATGCTTCAAAATCAGAGTATCGTCTACGGACAAGTGAGTGTCGAAGCTTGAACGCAGGGATGTTGGTCTCGGGGGCATGTCAGACATTCGTTCATAAAGAAAGAGGAGCCACATACCTTGCACACTATCTCATAATCAGTGTACATCTTCCTTCCAAAACCTAGGAGAAGGGTCAGAACCCATTCAGTCCAGTAACATAACCCGACACACCATGTGTCTGTGGATTCCTGACTTCAATTTCCAAAAAACTTTCGGGCACGCTATACATTTCCTCGATCTGCATGAAGAAAAACCTATTCATGATTTGTCACTCGCAGAGGACTGCTACAAGGCAGGCTTACCGTCTGACTTCTTCCCAGGATTCCTGGACCTTCGTCAATAGCGCTGACTCGCGCAAAGGGTGAGACCGCTGCCATTGTTGGTGGGAGTAGATGGATAAGGAGCTGTTATGGTCAGCAAATGGCGGTGCCAACCGTGACGCAGAAGTGTCACAATGTGACGTACTGTGAGTCACACGACTGCGCTAGCTTCGCCTTGCCATCCACTTTTGCAGGTGCCATCATCAGCGCTCTTTACTACTAGGGTTGGTTATTATGGCTGGGACCTCGGTGATTTGCAGTGAGTATCATCCAGAAATTGTTCATTTAAAAGCGTGGCTTGACCTTTTGATTTAGCCTGCATCTAGATCAAATTTTCAACGCTATATTTCCCGATGGAATTTTTCTCATCCAAGAGGGCACGTTTGTCTGTCATATACATGACAAGCTTACTCAGCACGGCATGAAGCAACCAACCAGTAGCACCCCTTGTCCTGGCCTCTCTCAAGCAAGATGTCATTCGAACCCACGCTTTTTCGACCGATGAAGGTTGGCGATATGGAGTTACAACATAGAGTTGTCATGGCTCCCTGCACGCGCGTCAGATGCACCAGGTTTCACGATCTTCAACCTCACATGAAAGAGTACTATGCTCAAAGAGCAAGCACACCAGGAACTCTCATTATTTCAGAGGGTGTCTTTCCGAGCGCGGCGAGTGGTGGAAATCCCAATTATCCAGGCATATGGAATGACGGCCATATCAAGGCATGGAAGGAGGTGTGTGTACAACCTGAAATTCATCTGATGACCCTAATCGGTTATGTAGATAGCAGACGTCGTGCATGCGAAGGGCTCCCTCATTTATATGCAACTTATGGCTCGTGGTCGGGCTGCTGAGACAGTGCATCTGAAGGCCATAGACGCCTCTTACGAGGTAGCATCCTCGTCTAACATTGGTCTGTCGAGCAGACCAGACACTGTTCCCAAGCCGCGAGCGCTCACCCTCGAGGAAATCTGCGACTACATCGAACTATACGCCACGGCTGCCTCCAACGCTATCCACAAGGCAGGATGTGATGGAGTCGAGATACACGCAGCAAATGGATATTTGATAGACCAGTTTACGCAAGATGTTTGTAACAACCGAATGGACGCCTATGGGGGTTCGATAGAGAACCGCTGTCGATTCGCATTAGAACTAGTAGAGAGAGTTGGTCGCGAGGTCGGGCTCAACAAGGTGGGAATCAGAATAAGCCCCTGGTCGCCCTTCCAGGGTGAGTAACCAGATATCATGCATTTCCTAGGCTCATCTTGTGAATATAGAAATGGGCATGAAAGACCCCAAACCTACTTTCACGTACCTCGTCACCAAAATCAAGGAGCTCTATCCCACGTTGGCATATCTGCATGTCGTTGAACCTCGTATAAAAGGAAACGCGACGATAGATGAGCCCGTTTATCCCGATGCTTCAAACGATTTCATCCGGGACATTTGGAGCCCGCTACCGCTCATCAGTGCCGGAGCGTACACCCGCGAGCAAGCCATCGAGCGTGCAGAGAAAAGTCGTGGAAATGAGCTGATTGCATTTGGGCGATACTTTATCTCGAATGTATGCCTTTGTTATTGGAATCATTGTCTCTTGCTGATCTAAACGTAGCCGGATCTACCCCTTAGGTTGAAGAATGATATCCCGCTCACCCCGTATGACAGGAGGACGTTCTACGTCCACGGTGATACGAATGCGAGGGGTTATACCGACTATCCTTTTGCTATCATCGTGTAACATCGATAGAAGAATTCAGGGTGTCGGTATCACACTTGGCAGATATGCAACTGGCTGTTGACCTCTGAAGTCACGTACCACAAAAGACGTACATATGCATATGTATCATCAGTGCTCGGATCGTGTCCTGGACCGCCATGGGATGCTAACGCGCCTTAGCCAGTTGGGACCTGTTATCTCGGCTCATGCGCTATTCGCCTAAATACCTTACCTAGCGAAACATCTGGGCCGGTTCCTTCTTGCTGAATCATCGGGCTCTCGTTTTCGAGAAAACGGGATGGAAGTTCAGGCTCAGGCAAATTGATTATCGCGTTAATCATCCGTTTAAACCAGCGTTACTAATGCATCCACTTACTCAGCTGTTTTTCTTGGAGCCATCGGCTAGCGTTATAAAAGGATGTATTCCTGGATGCTTTCATGCCCCATTCCTGTGCAGTTTTTTTTGTCTTTTGCCATGTCTGACTACATTCCCCGCCTCTTCCAGCCCATCCAAGTCGGGCAAATGAAACTCAAGCACCGTGTTGCATTGGCTCCTTTGACTAGGGTCAGGTCTACCCGATTCCACGATCCACAACCTATCATGCAGGAGTACTATGCTCAGCGCGCTAGCACCCCCGGCACATTTATCATATCAGAAGCTACCCTCATATCTCCCCAGAGCGGTGGTTTTCCTAATTACCCTGGGATCTACACTGAGAAGCAGATCGAAGAATGGCGAAAGGTGAAGGAACACTCTGTGATGTCAGTCACTAGTATCTGATATTGAACCTGCAGATTGTAGACGCTGTACACTCCAAAGGCTCCTACATTTACCTTCAAATCATGCCAACAGGCCGTGCCGCCGACCTATCTCACTTGAAAGCCATAGATCCTACATTTGAGCTGGTTTCTGCTTCCGACATTCCTCTTTCCGATTCACCTCATAAACCCCGTCCGCTCACGAAAGCCGAGATCAAGGAATACCTCGACGTGTTCGCCCAAGCGGCTTCCAACGCTGTACACAAAGCGGGCTTTGACGGTGTCGAAATCCATGGTGCGAATGGATACCTCGTCGACCAGTTCCTGCAAGATATCACCAACAAACGCACAGACGAATATGGTGGGTCGGTAGAAAACCGGTGCAGGTTCGCACAGGAGGTCGTGAAAAGGGTCGGAGAGACGATTGGTTTTGACAAGACAGGGTTGAGGTTGAGTCCATGGAGCGAATACTTAGGTAGGTGTCATTGGCCGGGTGGCAAGTGCTTCTGCGTGCTGATGGGTCGTCATGTAGAAATGGGAATGAAAGATCCCAAGCCAACCTTTGCTCACCTTGTGATGCAGCTGAAAGAGCGACATCCGGATTTAGCCTACATCCATGTCATCGAACCTCGCATCCACGGGAATGTCACAGCTGAAAAGCCATCTTGGCCTGATGCATCGAACGATTTTGTTCGCGAGATATGGGCACCAAGGCCTCTGATAAGCGCGGGTGCGTACACCCGGGAACAGGCCATTGAAGTCGCAGAGAAAAATGAGAACGAAGTCATTGCGTTTGGGAGGTTGTTTTTGGCAAACGTGAGGGTTTTCTGTTTTGGTTGGTATATGCGATTCACTGACCTTGAGATGGACAGCCGGATCTGCCCAGAAGGCTATTGAAGAACACTCCTCTCAACAAGTACGACAGGAGTACCTTCTATCTGCATGGGGAGTCAACACCAAAGGGTTATACAGACTATCCATTCTACGAGTAACGTTGGTAGATGTGACCATATATATCTTGGGAAAGCTACATGGTGCTATAGTGTAGTGGTCATCACTCGGGATTTTGATTGCTAATCTCTTCCCGAAACCCAGGTTCGAACCCTGGTAGCACCTCAGTCTACATATCAAACCTTTTGCGCATTATCACTAGGAAACAGTGAATATACATCTAGCCCTATACTATATCCTCGTCATTACTTCTATTCTTTTTCTCCGCTGATGAAGGGTACGGAGTTCGTGACAAGTAAGTCGAAGCCGGTTCGCCCGAGTCGGTCACAGTGGTAGAAGTTTCACCTTGCGTACTGTGCGCTGGGGCTGCAAATCGCATCCTGCTGACTCGAGAAATCGGCTGGGTACTGCTAGCGGTGGAAGGAACCTCGAAAGAATCCCAGAGAGATCTTTGCATGTGACAGATTACTACAATAGCCGTTGGGTACATCCCCTATTATTGTTCGTGATTAAGACACGTTCAAGAGAAGTACATTGACTGGAAACGTACCATGGCCTGTTGAATGATGGCGTTAACGATATTCATAGCAATTAGGGCGCTATTAGAAAGACTATGGCTGTATATAGGTATAGATTGTAGGGTCTGAGCGCATTTGACTTTCAGCGAGGCTGTTCCCGTGAGCACGAAGAAGCGAACACCCACATAAAGAACCACATAAGCTGCTCCAGACTCGCAGAACAACGTAAGAATCTTATCAACTGGGGATCTTGCTCGCGCTGAGCCCAAATTTTGATTCATGTATCGTCTGTGAGACCTGTTCGCCACACATGGAAACCGTCAGACCACGTAAACCCCAACATATCGCGGAACATACCATGCCTTGTAAAAGATGAGCCCGGTACACAGAACATTTGTCGCAAATGACAAGCTATAACTTGCAACATCGGATCTACGACATGTTTCTGGACCAATAGATGCAGCGGAAGGTTCTACGCTGTCAAGTGCCCAATCAGTCTTGATATCGCATCCGAGTTCGAAGATGGCGGTTGCTGTTGGAGAATGACACGAAGAATGAACGTGTTAGCTGGCATCTACGGAAATCTATGAATATGCGGGCCGCGACACGAACCAAAGGATCCTGTGAGGGTCAAGACGGGAATGACAAGCCATGCTAATTGATCCTGATACAACGCCCATGTCCTCCATACGACTACGCAATCTCCGAGAGGAAGCTATCAGTTTAGGGTCTGTGATCAGCGCGCAAACTTAGAATAGAACATGAGGAAACCGACGCACCAAAAAAATGAAAAGCATCTGTCCGGCCCACATTAATGGTTCAGTCAAGTGATCTGCTCGTGCGAGTTTCTCTTCTAGTGGAAGGTTCGAACGCTCGACAAAAATGACGCGAAGGCGAACAACCAGGTCGGCTACATCCATGGCGAAGAAACCGGAACATCCAATGAACATGATGGCTGCTATCACCGCGAGGAATATGGAGCGTTTGACTCGTAGTCTTCGGCGTCTAGAACGAGAGCGTGAGGACTAGGTACGTTGATATGCCGTGGAGAGGCAGAAACGCACCCAAAGATGGTGATAAAGTAGTAGACTAGGATGAGATACACGCCTGTTATGTTGGGTCAAATATCAAAATTATTGCATAATCGAAAAGGACTCGCCGTAGAAAGGTGCTTCAGCAACTATACGAGCAACCTTGATAACCAAGTTGTTTCCTACGGTACGCAAAATCTCCAGTTCTTCATCGCTGGGCATGACCGTCCAACAGAGAGCAAGTGAAGGTAAAGGTTGGGGTATCTGGGGAGCGGAGATCCCACGATCGAATGCGCAGGCTTTTTATCCATGTGTAACGAGTCGATGCAAAGCGCCCTCGTGGTGATTCACCAAGGGCCAAACGGAGACCTGTCAATTTTCAAAGGTACATCAGACCGCTGCTATTGGCTAGCTAACCGAGCCGGTGTGTATGTTCGGAGATATTTTCCTTACCTATGGTGATGCGAATGAATCGCACTCCGCGCATTCGTGAATAAGGTTTTCGTTCATAGTAGGGCTTTCACAGAGATTCCTATTCCATATCGCGATGCAAGAAGAACGGGCGCTGATCATGATCACTGGTGGAGAACCGTATCAATTCGTCTCCGACAGGTCGCGCGGCAAGGTATCCAGCCAATCTGATTAGGTCGTGTCAGTAGAAACCACGAGTACGTGATGAACGAGATACGCACTTTGTATGGTCATGGTCAACTCCTGCGCTGAATAATGGTCATGATCCTTCAAGTATCTTGATACATGGTTTCCTTTTGAAGTCTTGGCCCACTTTGCTCCATGAGAGTGCTTCTTTCTGTGGTGGACTGTCGAATGTCAGATATCGCCTTCATATGGAAACGAGTTGGAAGCGAGTATCTGCGTTCTGATATATATCTAGACATTGCGGAAAGACCATGTCAACAACTACAGTCGAAAAAGGGACAGTATAACAGACCACAACCACCCATTGTCTGGTACCCATGCGCTCCTCATCCAACCCAGTGCTGGATATAGGCTGATACGTGATTCATGTCTTCCCCCTCCCCAAATCTCGTACTGATTCTGGTTGCGTTCACCGCTCAGGCTGCTGACAGGTTATAAAAGAGATGAGAAACTGAATTCCAATCGTTATCTGCGTCGAGACTTGGACCGCATCGGCTGTTATAATTGACCAGAGAGGCTGAAGAGCACTGTGCAAGGCAATGAGAAGCAGTATTGACCGCACACTTTGTGTTGTTGACGGTGGGAGGAAGAGTACCGGGAATACGCGTCAGTTGTTTTTCCACGCGGCCTCGTTCTTCGTCGTCCACCACCTTTGCGCACGGATTGCCAGATCCAAGCCCCGAAATTGACCTTGCGATTAAGGGCAAAATATTTAAACTAGGTTAGTTACTCTATACGGTACAAATTGCCATTCTATGGTAGAACAAGTTTAGGTAAGTAATTAGAACTTAAACCCCTTCGTCAAATTCGTAATACCGTTTGAGTCGTACTTCTGAACCTCCATTGGCATTGATATATCAAAATAGCAACATTTTATCCGTATCATACGCCGCACTGACAAGCATTGAATATTGATCAGTTACAAGTAGACTGAACCAACTAGCGAAGAGAAACTCACTAACTTGGATGCAATATCACGTCAGGCAGGACCACAGGGTGACTACCCCCTTCTTGTGCTCCAGCAAATCCCGTAATGTTGTCATCAATCTCCTTTAATATCCCGTGAAAATGCTGATCCTGAGAAGCATCACTCCACGAAAGACAGATCTGAGACGGGGCGGAGAACGTTCTTGATGGGTGGTAGTGTGCTAGGCCATTGGTTTAATGGAACCAGACGTCCTGGACGAAGGGTTCAACAGCAAAAATGATTTCAGAGGCAGAATGGTTCCATGCTTCGGAGCCGTAGCCTTTGACCAGTGAGGGAGTGTTATTGAGGACGGAAACGGTGTAGCTTGCGATGAGAATAGGGACACATTGCTATGGATAGGGAGGTGTGTCAATGGTTCATATCAGCAAGGTAGATGACATTCATACCTTAGGGCTTCTTGAACACCGACAAATGCATTGACAAGGTTGGTAGAGAGGTCGTAAGAAGCGTGCTTGAGCTCGTAGATCCTACTGGCACACAATCGAAAGTTCCATTCGGCGGAGATGGCCCATGATAGTAGAAGAAAACCGAAGTGAACAGTCCTGTCAAACAAGATACATCGCTTTAGCACGAATAAAGACTAAAAGCGGCCAAACGTACCTCCTAGACTAGGATCGTAGCTCTATGTGACACCAATCACGGTTTTGGAGTCGGAATTGTTGAATAAACGCCTCGAAGAACCTCTTAATGTTGCCTTCACCGGTAGACCTCCCTGTAATGCCCGTCAATAACTCTCAAGATTGGTATCTCATGACCACTCACTCATGGCTGCGTTACTGCAGTATAGTTGATCTGCGTAACGATTTCAAAGTTATTCCTCCACCCTGTGTACAACAAAAGGTAGTCAGTACCTTCCAACTCATGATAAACACCATGCACTCACTTTAAGCCCACCTCCTTCGTCACTTTCACAGCCTCCCCACGCGTCAACGCAATCTCAGGCCCAGCAACCGTATCACAACTTAACCCAATATTTGTGATCCACGAATAGCCTCCTCCAAGGGTGAGCCGACCTACACCAATACCAGCTACCCGACCAAGGGGAACAGTGACATTGTAAGGCTCGAGAGCTTTGCAGGACTTCTGCTTTTTTGACTGAGCCACAAAAGCGATGTTGGTCTCGGGATCATAGTACACGGTATTGAACCAGCTTGTGAAAAAGAGAACTCCAGAGATAGAGGACCAGCCTGGGTTGATGGCGTGAACAAAGGAATGGATGCAAATTGGTGTGGGAAACCGATGTCCTGGTCCATGGACTCAGGTCAGCTTCTTCGTCAACAACGGTCATCATCTCTCCTCGCTTTCGATGTCCTTCCGAGCTCTTGGGGGTTATAAATAAGTAGTCATCATGGTAATTACTACTGCGCTTCAACTTTACTGAACTCGTATCAATATCACTAGCGCCTGTCGAACCACAAGCACCACCAAGTCGGATTCGGACTCCGAGGACCGAGTCCACCGCTCTACCTGATCCTTTTTCTACTGCACGGACCTATAACGCGTATCTCAATGACAAGTAGCTAATGATCGGAATTCATCTTGGTCATTTTCATCTTCCTAGGTGGCTTTTTGGACAGATGACCTTGTCAGAAGCGTCAGGTCCGTCTTACACATTAACATGTTTGTTGACTTTTCTGTTGAGGTGTATGTTGTAGCTCCTCAAGACTGACGTGAGATGCTCGACTCTCGGGCCGCGATACGCAATCTTGCTTGTGTATACTGGAATCGTACCTTGCCTTATCAACAGTTGCGCTGCATGAAGGATAACTATTGTCAGCGAAAATGATGCTTTCGCACCGTGGCTAACCAAAGTTCGACCTTGCGAGCGACGTTTGGCGTTGTCACTTTCTTATATAAACCTCAGCGCGTTTGGCATACCCTTTTCACATTCACATCGATGTTCAGAATGTTTCCAGCACTCACAAATTCCAACATCCTTCTGTGTATTCCACTTCTTGGGATCATATCGCT